GATCTGAAGCTTTACTGGGAAAAAGACATGCTGAACCTGATCTCAGGGTCTCCAGGGATGTATCACACCTACATACACACATACAGAGCAGTTCTTGGTCTGAACTGAAGCATCAACTCTAAGCATATTGATCTGGATCTTTCCAGCTCAACCTGCCACTGCTAAATGCCCACACAGTGCAAGGGTTTTCTAGAGTGGAAAACGAGAGAACAGGGAGAGAAGACATTCATCCCTGATTACAGGAAAAAACCATCACACAACACAAAAGTATCATTCATTACCAGTGAAACTCTGTCTTTTATTTTAAGCCTTCATTAATCTTGAAGAGCAGGTTTTACCATACACTCTTCTCCTCTCCCTCATCACTCCCTCATGGTCCTAGGCCCAGCAAATCAATAGTAGTGATTGTCCTTTGAACATCTTGAGACTACCCAGACATACAGAACTGACATTAGCTGGTATTTCACTACAGCATATAATTTGGCCTTGTTTCTAACCCAGGCCCCCAGCCCGTTAACCCTTGCACTTTCCTCTTGGTGCTGACTCTATCCAAGGCCTGAATGGCTCCCTTATGTGGAGCCAGTGTTTCTGCTGTATCCACTCCTTTAAGCTGACATGCATAGAGCGCTCTGTGGTGCTGCTCCCCCAGCTATAGCCCTCTGCCAGGCATAACTGTTAGCTAATCAGCGTTATTGTCCTAGTAAATCACCCCCAGGGTGAAAGGCTAACAACTCTCTTGCAGGTTTGCAAAGAGAGGGAGTGGAGAGGTAACTGATTGCTGGGCTGGTAAAATGGGAAACATGCCCTGAGGTACTGTGCACACAGAGTATTTAGTCTTCCAGCAGACAATGGCTAAGGAGGGGGAATGAAGGAAACAGACTGGAAATTACATGCTTCCAAAACCCTTGTAAGAAAATTAAAGCCACTTAGGAATTGAACAGCACTCAGCTCTGCGACTAGGGTGCCGCAGGAGGAGCAGGCAGAGCTGAGAACTTCCCACCTCAGAACTCATCGTCCTTGACCTTCTCTGCTAGAGCAATGGCAGAGCACGGCGGGTACAGATCCCGGGGCATTTCTTCCTACTCGGAAGCACACTGCTACTTTACCTCATTTTTGAAAGAGAAACCTTTTCTCTCCGGAGAGGAACCAGAACTCTTCCTTGCCCGTTTCTTGGCTCCACGGACCGGCAGCAAGTACAGCCACTAGATGGCACGAGTCAGAGCCGAACCGGCTCGGGGAGGAACCCGGCCTTGCTGGGGCACGTCCCTCCTCCAGACCGCTCTTGTTTTGCAACCGCAGGCGAACGCCCCTACCACTTGCTTTCCTTTTCTCATCTGTAAAGCAGAGATGTGATGTGAGCATAATAAAGTTTATCTTCACAAACTGCTGGGATACCCTTGGATGAAGAGACCTGTGTTAAATTGACAAAAATGTTATTAATAATAAAGAAGTGCCATAAACATCACAGAAATTACACTCTTATTTTTGGGGTGGGATGCAGCCAGTTGCTAATACGCAGCTAATTGCAGTGCTCAACTTCCAGCTGTGCCCTGTGCTGCAAGCAGTTGCATGCTGTAGCGTAAGGCTTCCCTGGGGAGCAAAATGTCCTGTGGTAAGAGAAGCACAAGAAATCCTGGACAGGAGGAGAGTGATGGTGTTCTGTTGGAGACTGACTGCTTGGAGAACAGAATGGGAGGATAAAGTTAGGAAAAATAGGATACTTGCGTTTGTGAGGGAGGCAAACAGAAGGATCACAGGGGAGTTATACCCCAGGTCATAATTCCACTTCCTCCCTCCCAGAGAGGACTGGAAAAAGCAGTATTGCAGAAGACCCAAAGTACTCACTTTTTGTGATGTGATTGAATTGGCTTCTGGAGGATCAGATGAGCATCAGAGCCAGCACAAGACAAGGGACAAGCACAGGGATGGTCTTGCCAGCAGCAAGCTGCTAGATCATCCTAGCCATATTGCCCAGCTGCACCCCCAAGGTGCAAGTGGAACCTTTGAATCTAATATAAATTTAACATTTGTATTGTCTTACACCACCTCCATTTGCTGAGGAGAAATTTGTGAAAACTGCTCTTCAAGGATCAGGTTAGCAGAGTAAGGGTAGAGTAATGACAAATTTACTTGTAGATGCATCATGACTTCAGAGCTTTGTTCCTTTCAGCTTTGCAGGGCTGGGAGCACAAGCTTTCTGCCAGTTGGAAGGGATGATTCCCAGCTTTCTCATGGAAAGTGTCAGATGTTGGGACATGCTGCCTGTAAAAGATATGACTTTAATACATTAAAGAAATCTATTTACGGTTATTTTAAAGTAGAGCTTACATTCCTGTGCTCTGTAAAGTTGGAACTAAGGCACCTGGTATAGATAAATAATTTGTTCCAACAGCCTAAAAATGTTCTATTTTTAAAATAATCTGGTTTCTGAAATACATTAATAGTTCAGCCAAGTTTCAGACTATAATGTGTTCTCTCTAGAGTCTACCAAGCAAGACTATGTCTACTAATCAAGATGCCTACCTGACTTGTAGATACTATCTTCTCACAGGAACACAGGTACGACTTTAGACCTTTTTGGTCTTCAGCAGAACACCAGAGCAAAACAAACAAGCACACGTTCCCCAATTCGTTCATCTCAAGATCATGTGCTGGAGGAAACCTCTAAATTTGAAATATTGCCATGAGTATAAAGGATGTATTCCCTTCTGTGGTCTATCTATACAGTCTTTGACACTGAAACTGCCACCTGTCAAAACTCAAACTCCCTCTTGTCCTTTTTTTCCCTTCACGGCTTCCATCTACCCCAGTCCCTCTTCTTCCCCCTCAAGACATTTCTACACTTGTTGACCACCAAGCAAGTATTTTATTCAGGCTGCTGAACTGTCCTTTTAACCCCGCTGTACCAACTCCTATGCCCTAAAACTACGAATTCCAGATTGGGTTTGCTCCAAGTTGAGGTCAGACATGACCAACTTAGAGTGGCACAATGAGTTATCCTTCATCAAAGCAATTAATTAAGCATACACAGTTGTAGCTCATTTTACATGTCAGGTAAGGTCAAAACTTTAAACCCCAATTAAAAATGTAGTTTTCCTTTCCAACTCTACTGTGTGCCAAACTGGGCTGTGCTGCTCTGAAACCTGCTCAAAATTGTTAGGACTTCCTGATACAATAGTTACGAGGTTTGGTTTGTTTGGTTTGGTTTTTCCTAAAGGCAAAAAAAAAATCCAATCTACTATTCATAGCTTGTCCTCTTTAAGGAAAAAAAAAAAAAAAAGTGGTGACACAGGAGGAAATGGGGTGGGGAGGAAATCAGACCACCCTTCCGCCTTCTCCCCCAGGTATTTTTAAGGGCTTAAGCTTTTCTGACACGGGAAAAGGCATGGAAAAGAGTCACGTGCACAATCAATAAAAATTTGGGCTTCAAAATCTATTATTTCTCCAGGCACCGAAAGTAATATACCAAAAGAAACAACTAAGAGTTCAGTAACCAGGGACTCAACTTCTCCTTTAAGAAAACTGTTTTTAGCTGCTAAAGATTCCTATCCTTGCCCTTCAAATAAATATTGAGAAAGCTGCCAAGTTCACATCTACCATGAACAAATCTTTCCCCAGAGAAAGATCAGATTTAATATTCTTAGTATTTCAAAAGCTCACCTTTTCCTCACCTAAACACCTTTGGATATCTTAGGAGAACAAAGAGCCACTGCTTGCCGCCTTGAAAAACATGTAAAAAAAATTAGTGAGGGGTCTATTTCCATCTCATCACATTGCACTGGTAACACCACCCTGCAATCTGCAGTCCTTAGTTACCTGTTGCTACATTTAGAAACCAGTACTACAGTTAACTTGGATGCAGGTGTGCTGGCAAAGACGTTTAAACCGCCAGCACAGAAAAGAAATATTGTCATAGGTGTTTCTACACTAAACCACTATCAGTTCCATCATACAATTTAAAGTAAGTTAAAAAAATGTACTTCTAACCAGTATTAATAGCAACAAAAATCTATGGGTAGACTGGGCTTTACGTTCAGAAATAAGCTGTATTTACAGTTACAATCACAATGACAATTATAAACTTGCTTATAACCTCAAGATGTTTGGGGGGCAAGGGGAGGCTGGATCTTTGGTCTATATTCATCTTACTGTTGCCACTGCTGACTGAATCAACAGAAAATTATGGAAGGGAAATGACATTGTACAATAAAGAATCAAGAATTAATAGAATTCACAAGATCTACAGTAGCTCTATATTTAAACAATTTGCAAGGTAAGCATGCTGCAGTCAGAAGCATTCAAGGTCTCTGATATTGCACTTGCCAATCTCAAAGGTACTAGGCTAGGCAGTGGATGTTTTGGGGAGTTTCTTTGGTAGCGTAACAAATTTATCAAAGCAAGCAACATTGACATTTAACACAGCTGAGCACACCCCAGCTTTCCCAACAGAGTCATATCTAGTAAGATGCCTCTGCAAAGTGGTTTCTATTTGTTCCTTGTGTTCTTTCTGAACTGCTAGCATGTTCAGATCACATCAAGGAAAACATGCAAAGAACATGATTAGCAGGAACTTGCTCTAGAAAGGGTGTCAGCCTTGAAGCCTTAGATACACAGAAGTAGCATGGGCAATATGAGAATCTCTGGAACCATGTTTCAAAAGTGACAAATTATTTTACCTCTAGGAAGATTCCAACACCTATGGCCATTTGGTTGTTGGTTTTTTTGTTGAACTGGTGGACGAGGAGGTGTCACACAAATCTGTCTGCAAGGACTGCAGAAAGACTACTATTTACCATCCATTCAAACAGCCACTGTTGGCCATGACAGTAAAATCCTATCCTGTCCTCCTATTAGTCAGCATGCGGTTACTCACGTGCCGTAACTGGCTTCTTTTGCCTGCTTCCATATGGGTACACCTTCAAAAAAATTTCCTTGTGATCATGTTTGCAAGATTGTACGAAGTGAACAACAGCAACAGTAACATTACTAAACAAAACTGCAAAGTAAGCCAGAAAAAGGTTTTATTTTATTAGGAATGGTACATTAAACACACGTAAGACTTTGGGATTAATTTACATATTTTTCCAAAAATGTTTCCCTTCTTCAATGATACAGAAGTTAAAAAAAAAATCTAATTCCAAATTGTAAGAACAAACAGTATTTGCAGTGGAAATTTCTATTAATCAAAACAACAGCGCATTCAGGAGATTTAAAGAAATTATCCTCTTTACACTTTAACATGATTAACTTTTCCTGTCACAACTGACTACACTTTTCCTGGGATTTTTTTGCTGCTGTCATTACTAAAATAACCTTCCTTTCCATCAAGACTATTGCTAGTCATACACACATTATTCAGTATCATACTTTCGGGTATGAAAGCTATGTCACTTTTATAAACATCAAAAACATGGACATGCATATTGACACTTCTGTGCAGTTTTATGGAGTCACCTGTCAAATAAGGCCTCTACATACAATACCACATACTAGTGAATTACTGGAAAATTATTATACCATGGATTCCCAATAATCCTGACATCTGGATGGTACGTCTCATTTTAACAGGAAATTCCAGCATTCATTACTGCTTAACATTGTATTGTTTCACTATCCAAATGAGCAATATTCAACTGACCAATGTGTATTCCTGAAAGTCTGTTGCAAATTAAGCATATTATCAAGGCCATTTAAAGCTGGAACTTAAACAGCCTGTTAAGCCAAGCAACAGGGAAAAAAGTGAACTCTAAACTAAATTCAGCTGGTCCATTCATTCTCACACAGAAAAGTAGCCACAGAACCTTAAATGAATAAAATCTATACTTCCTGTTCTCGGACTTAATACCAAGGACAAAAGCTAACATTGTATTTTGGAAGTCAAAGGCCTTGGAGGTGGAGGGGAAAGTGGGGGGGCAAGAGAGGGAGAAAGCAGCGTATTGTCTCATCCCATTACCTCAGCATTATGTGTACATAATATAGCTATGATAGAAATGTTTACTAATAGCAGGGAAAAAAAAATAAAAAAGACTTCCCACTCCAGACTTCACTGAAAGGAGAAAGCTGACAGCCCCTCCTCACAGAGATGGCCTATTTGATGACAGGCACTTTGGCAATGTAAGAGGAGGTTACCCTTTCATCATGTTACCTCTTCCCCTCCCAGTTCTCATGTATAATTTGTCTCAAGTCTTCAAGAAACTTGAATCAAATTAAATGCATTAATACATCTCTAAGAACAGGTTAACTACGGCTATGAGCAGAGCTCGACCTAGAACGAGATTTTCGTTTAGAAGAGGAGGGAGACGGGGAAGAAGCTAGCAAGCTGGAGCGGTGGCTTTTCTGGGAGTAACTCTTTTTAGGTGTACGACTGCGAGAACGAGACCGGGATCGAGATCGGGACCGGGATCGAGAGCGAGACCTGGACCTGGACCTTGATCTTGACCTGGACCTGGACCGGCTGTCCGATCTGGAAGATCCTGTAGACCTGGACCTGCTGCGAGATCTTGAGTAACTCCTTGATCGAGATCTGCTTCTAGAGAAACACAATTAGAAGCTGTAGTCTCACCTCCTACTAAATTTAAAATACTCAATTTAAATTCTCAACTACTTTGTATGCACAGCACATCCACCAGAACATCTGAATGTGCTACGCACAGCATTCAGTTATTTCAGAGTGCTGCTAGATTTCTGTTATGCTCCATCACAACAGTATGTTCTTAGGCAAAGACATTGACATTCTCTGCTAGCTTGGCAGAATATGGACTGCCTAATAAAAGATGCCTTCCCCCCGCCCCCCGCCAGAAGGAGATAAACAAATTTTTAGCCATTTATCAAGAAAAGCACAGAAATGAAAATTCATACCTGTGGTATTTATTCTCTCTAGAAACACCCATGTCAATTAGTTAGGGCTTCTTTCAAGATGCTAAAAAAGTCTCTAAAGGCATTGAACACCAGCACACTTTAAGGCCTGAGTTTAACACCTCTCTATTTAACACCTGCTCTCACCGTCCCTTTTTTCATGAAAAGAAATGGATTTATTTTTAAGAGAGACAATGAAAAAGCTGCAGCTAACATGTTTTTTAAATGACTAAATGACAGAACTGCTTTGGGAATAATGCAAGCAAGCTAACTGTTTTTCTTTTATTCTCATGAAAAAGTTGGCTTTCACAACTATTTGAGACATTTCACAGGACTGTGAAGCAGCTTTCCAGTAAATTAAAAGGCTTATAATACCAAAATTCATAGTTTTTTAAAAAGTCCTTTCATTTAAATATCAAGTTTTAGCTGTAAAAAAGTTAGTTCTTATCTAAATCGGTTTACGCTGCTAGAAAGTGGTTCTGTGTGGTGATATTTAGCTTGGGGCCAAAGAATTAGATAATAAAACTTTGGCATCGATACTACCGAAATCCATGCCCTCAGCAGAATTTTATCAGGTCAGGTGACATACCTATGCCTTCTGTGATCTTCAGTCAGTTTAATTCTGCGTCCATTCAGCTCAGTGCCATCCAATTTTTCCAGTGCACTCTTCATATCACTATAAGATGCAAATTCCACAACCCTGTATACCACCAGGAAAAAAGAAGAATTTTCAGAGAAACTGAAAAAGCAAGGAGAACAAGTTTGGGTCTTTTTCAATCTGTTGATTCACAGCTTGATGTTTTATCTTCTGAAAGCTAATTTTTATTTCAGTCCTCCTAAATTTTATTTCAGTCCACCTACAGGTGAGACTCTGAATTGCATTTCACTAAATTGTCCAAGAAACAAAACAAACTTGCAGACTCTCCTGCCCTATTTAGATTTTTAACAGTGAATAGAAAAATCCCCTCTCTGTTTTTTTAATTTGTTTTCCCCTCAAAAAAAGTGTAAGTTGCATTTGCTTGCAGTGACCCTAGAGCACTGTTTTGCCAGCACATACACTCTATTCATACTTTCCTCTCTCCTGCTTTGCCATGCAGGACCTTTGTAGTCTGCAGAATTAAGAATGGAGAGCAGGCAGCTAGGTATTCCCTATGGAGATTGGTTATGTTCATTTCCCATGACTCTTGACTGTTGAACCAGTGCAAAGCAGCCACAGACAGGAGGTATTTTAGCCTCAGGAGTCAGCTCATAAATAACATAAATAACTCTGAGTTAAAGACAGCAGAACTCAACTGTTGAAAGGTATTCTCCCTTCCCTTTCTGCTTTGACACATTCTTTTCATGGTAGAGTAGAGACTGAGTTCAATACCACTTCTAAACTCCTACTTACTAACAGTTTGTTTGTGGGGTTTTTTTGGGTTTTCTTTGTTTGGTTTGTGGGGTTTTTGTTTTTTGTTTTTTGTTTTTTTTTTAAATTGGAGACGTTTCAGCATCTAAGCCACACCATAGATTTATGTTTCATTTCTTTCATATTACAAGGATAATCTTGCCTTTAGCAGTTTCAGTTATCAAACAGATTTAGACACAAAATGAACTTACCCTTCATTCCTGTTGTTTCTATGTGCATCCACATAGGTGACTTCCCCTGCCTTTCTCATGACATCTTTCAAGTCCTGCAGCAAAAGTTAAAATTTTAGCCTTAAATAGGACACAAATGAGTCAGATAGCAGTAAGTAATACCCCCATAAAATTTTCTCTGCTAAAACTGCTTAATGCTTTTATATTTTTTTTATATATATATAAAT